AGGTATTCACAAAAGAAACCTGAGAGGGAAACTTTAGGGGAAGGAAGAGGAGGAGGAGGAAGAGGAAGTGGTAGAGAGTATCAAAAAGAGAATGAGCAAGAATATTGGATGCTGCTAATAGAGTTGGGTGATGGTAATAGTCACTAACAATTTTTGAGTACTTCCTGTGAGTGTGCCCTGCTTGGACTGTTTTATACATATTGCCTCATTTAACCATCACAATAACCTGTCAAAACAGTTACAATTATTACTTCAGTAATAATGGAAGCAGCAGAGATTAAATAAACTGGCTAAAGTCATTTGATAAATGCTAGAGCCAAGAATTGAACATAAGTAAACGGGACTTTGAAATGCTGTTCTCACCACAGCCACTTGTTAAGGAACATGGTGGCTGACAGGCTGGAAAGAGTCCGCAGAACTCAGTAACACCTTCATCACCTTGGCTCTGCTTTGGTCATGGAGGAAACCACTGCAGAACAAGGAACTAGGGGCAGGAAGGGGAGAGATGACCTCCCACAGGGAGGACAAGTGAGCAGCACCTGGAGGGTACTAAGGGTCAAGAGGGGATTATGCTTTAAGATGGGAAATTGTGTTTATATGTTGAAGTAAGTGAGTAGAGTGAGTAGAGAGAAATTGGCCTAAGGTCACAAGTCTGAAGAGATTTTGGTGGAATGAAGATCCCTCAGGAGTCCCAAAGTAGTAGAATCCTGAGCCACTTGAAGGGAATGGCCTTGCACAGGGAAAGGGAATGTTACCCTTCCTCATGGGAAGACAGGAAGGCTGTCCTGTGGGGTGAGAGGAACGTGGGGCTGTCTCTTGGAAGCAGGGTGGGTACCTCAGTGGCTGGAATGGTATTAGCAGATCTCAGCAGGCCCTTCAGTTAACTCCACCCCCAGCTTCTTTTTTCCAACCAAGATGGTTCTTGCTGGACTTGCCCTTCCTGGCTCCTTTCTCCTCCATTTCTAGAGTCTGCAGAGAACCTTCATTCCCAACCCTGGTGGTTTCTGTTGTGAGTGGTACTTTTCCATTTAGGAACATGAAAAGAACCCTCCTGATAAGATCTGGTAGACTGGAGGGAAGGGGAGAGGAGAGAACTTCAATCACTGTGGTTCCGTTTATCCATCAGAAAAGGAGGGAGGCAAGGATGGAGAAGGTGGGAAGCCATGAGGGCCAGCCACAGAGGTGGGGGCCACCAGGAGGTGGCTAGAGTGAGGCCAGCTTGTTTAACAAGCAAAGCAGATAAAGATTAGAGTAACCATGACAACAGGCTACTGGCAAAGGCTCAGGGTTGGGGGAGAAGGAGGGAGGTGGAATGAGTTGGCTGGGTTTAAGCCCAGAGTTTTTGGAAAATGCCATTTCTTCCCCCAGGGCTCTTGGCTGTGATCACCATAGTCACCCACAGTGACTGGAAGGGAAAGAAAGGCCAGAGGGAGGACAGGAAAGGTTAGAAGGTAAGATGGGTCTAGCTGACTCAGAGAAGAGGGAGGAGCTTGAGGACCATAACAGGGCTCCCTACTGGAGGCTCGGGGAGGCCTTCGGACCTTTGGGGTTCACTGCCTCAGTCTCCCTCTGTGACTCCAGCACTCACACTCTCCATTTGGCCCTACTAGGGTAACAGAGGTGCTGCAGCTAGCATGCCTTCTTATTCTCAGTTTCCGGGACATCGCCTTCTTCACTCCTGGACAATGGGGGCACAAGCCCCTCGGTACTCTTTCTGAGGATGCTCGAAGTCTCTGCATGTGACGTTTGCGAGCATTCATGCTAATGAAGCCTCTTCACCCAGCCCAGGCCTGGAATTAGTTTTGAAGTGTGTTGCCCAGGCTATGTAGCTGAACACTCTACAGCTGCTTGGCCATCCATGGATAAGGAGATAAGGAATCTGTATCCTTAAAAATAGGTGAATACAGTTGTTCCTTTCTGAGTCAGATCAAAACACCTGAATGGGAGCTGGAGACACTGGCACGATTACAAACAAATGGTGCTTTTGGCTTAGTATCTCCTTATCGCACCCAGCTTGATCTCTCCTGAAATAGCACCAGCACTGCTGAAGAGGGACAGAGACTTTTTCTCAGTCTGATGTAAAGAGGTTTGCAAACGCGGCTTTGACAGTCTGCTCCCTTCCTTTCCAACCAGACTGTGCAGACTGTGGCCCTTCCAGCTTCTCCCTGAAGAAATAAACACTGGTGCCACCTCAGCAGCGGGCTAGGACCTGAGGTGCACAGTGAGTCTCAGGGGAGCAGGAGTCCCATGCCTTGCCCCAGGAGCTTAGAGAACTGTGAACTATAGAAGCGTAGGTGTCACAGATGTCATCCCTGAGCATTTGCAATTTTGATTGGAGAGGAGGTAGCAAAGTGGATTCATATCCTTTTCCAAGTCTCTTTCTCTCCAGATAAGCATGTGTAGCCCAAGCTGTTGGAAAAAAGAGATTCTTTTGCACAAAGAAAGTTAAAATAAGAGATACAGGACTGAGCTCTTTGTTCCAAAATGTCATAAATAGCTGTGCAAAGAGAAAACATAGAGAGACCTGATTTCCCCAGAGTACAGAGGAGAGCTGTCTCAATGTTGGAAAGAGGAGGCAGGATTCTCCAATTTTGCTATAAACCTGAAATGACTTTTTTTTTTAATTTCTTTTTTTAAAAATGCCAGGTAGATGTAGTCACCTTGTCCTTCTCAGCTACGTTATAATTTGTAAACATGTCCAGCAGCAATGCGGAGTTCCTGGCACCCTGTGGGACAGGCTCTGCATTGATATTTCCTTGGTTGAGAGATTTTTTCCTGAACCAGTGACTTTAATTTTCTTTGTTGTCAGCACATATCAGGGTTTGACAAGGAACTACACGTGGCAGGAGGTCACTGCCTAAATGTCCCAAAGGGAAGGAAGAGAAAGGAAGACAGGTAAAAAATGACACTCAGTGGTCCCTTTTGTGCATTAGAAAAACTCAGGAGGATTTGGAGAGAGAATGCAGAAAGTTTCTACTCTGGAAAGTGGAACATGGTAGTCCACTGTTACCCCTTGCCAACCAACCATCACGTTGTACAGACACATGTGCACATACCATGGCACTCACCAACACACTTGTGTACACTTGGAGTAAACAAGACATTCACCTTTATCCATTTCATCTGCTAGTTTAATTAACACCTCACAAGCATTGACTGAGCATTTGCTATGGGAAGATACTATGCTAGGTCACAGCAAAGGACACAAAAGTGGGAAAGACATTGTTTCTACCCTGAAAAGAGTTTCTGATTAGTTGGTGAAAAAGACATATAAATATGTAATTATGCCCTTGAGGGATGGACAGTTGTACAAGTTACTGGAAGTGTTGATCAACTTTCCTGACTAAGGACAAGGAGGGTCAAAGAGTGTGTTTTAGTCAGCTCAGGCTGCCTTAACAGAACACCACAGTTCTGGAGGCTGGAAGTTCAAACTCAAGTTTCTGGCAGGGTTAGGTTTCTGGTGAGACCTTTTCCTGGCTAGCAGAGGGTCACTCTCTTCTTGTGTTCTCAGATGACCCGACCTATTCTTTATATTGGGGATGGATGGGCATGGGGAGAGAGAACACGTGATCTGGTGTCTCTTCCTATAAGGATCCTATCCCTGCCAGATATGATTTCATTTTGCCTTAATTACTTCCTTAAAGGCTCTGTGTCTTAAAACAGCCACCTTGGGGGCTAGGACTTCAACCTGTGAATTTTGAGGAGATGCAGGCAGTCCATCCAAATAAGGCTTCACAGAACCTGCGTTGAAAGAGTCGCTTTCACACATTCACGTGAAAGCACTGAAAGAGTAGCTTTCTGCTTTATGCATATTGGAAATGACAATAATCCAATGCAACTAGAAGGGAAAAAGGGATGTGTGGGATAGGGACATAATGCCTGGCTTGGACTTGCTGGGTAGTTGATGTGCAGCCATTAATTAATCTCGAAGGTGGAGACGGGAAGGCCTAGGTGAACCAGGACAGCAAGCGAGGTTGGGGGTGGGGTGGGGGGAAGAGGTCTGCTGGCTTTAGTGACTGCCTGCAGGTGAGGCATGGGGCAGTCTGGAGCTGGTATCCAAGCTCTGACTTGACTGAGTCTTCTCCATTAGGAGGTGCAGTGGGAGAGACAGGTGTCAAGGGGTAGACAGTGGGTACAGTTTGGGGCACTTCAGATGTGACTTTTCATTTCTCGTTGGTCAGGAGAAAGGTCTGACAGAGCAAACGCTGGGACTCCTTGTCATGAAGGAGAAGCTGGGACACAAAACATGGACGGTTTGTGGAGAAACCATGAGGATTAGAGAGAAGAGCTGAGCTTGGGATCCCAGCTAGCTCCACCAGTTAGGGACTGGGAAGACGGGGTGCCCGAAAAGGAGAGGGCACAGGAAAACCGGGGAGGAGTCCTGCGCAGATGTCAAAGGAGGAGGACTGGTGGAAAGGAAGAAGTGCTCTGCGGAGCTGCAGAGATGCACTGAGAAAGGCTAAGAGGCCCCGAGCCCTGGCTGGAGTCCGGGGCTTTGGGGAGAGGTTTCCCTGGAGCTGGGAGGGGACGCCCTAGGACCAAGGGTGCGGAAATGAACACAGTGTTATGTGGAACAGAAAGCACTGTGGGAACCCAGGGTGAAGGCTGTCGGAAAAGTCAAGGACAGTCTTCATTCAATTGTCTGGGACATATTTTTAGATCTGGGAGAATGTTTATGGAGACATTCCAGAGAATCAACAAACACAAAAGGAAAATCTTAAAATAACAGGTTATATATGAATAAAAACAAAAACAAAAACAGAAAAACTCTGTCCAAAGTGTACAGAGCCCAAATGGTTGAGAGAGGAAGAGGCTGATAAATATGTTTGGAGGACTTGAATAAAAGTGGAGGGGTTGGTTGGTTTTAGGGTTGTATGGTTAAGGTCTTGTATGGATTTTTTTAGGTCTTGTATGGTTAAGAGGAGGCTTTGGGAAGGGGAGGGAGGGTAATATGTTGAGGAATTGGCCTTATGAACACTGCATTAATCAACTCCAATCCATACAATGTAGGTTCTCAGGCAAATTCATTTTAAATTGGAGTTGATTTTTTTTTTTTAAATTCACAAGTCTAAATACTTAGTCTTTTAGATCCTAGAGATGGATAAAGTTAAATAGCTCTTTAAAGAACAGCACTGCATGGAAAATAACTAGGTTTGCCCTGCTAAGTTTAGCATATAAAGCTCTTTCCTGAATGGCTCCTTTGTCAACTCCAACCTGGAGGAGTTCAATTCCCTTTTATTTGGCGAATTCCTTAATTGGATTTTGTTTGCCGATCTGACTTTCTCACATTGTAAGGTTTTAATAAATCATTATAATCATTCCTTTATGTCTTGCAAAAGTAACCTTTCTGACAGTTCCCGAAAGATTTTGTTCCCCCTGTGTTTGCATCATGGGATTATTAGTGTAGCTTACAAATGAATCAGAAAAGGGCTGTGCCGCTGGAGATATATTTCCATCATTTCCCAGGCGTGAACTCGGAGAGTGATAACCAGGAACCTGTGAGGTCACGCTCGGCTGGGAGGGCACAGCAGGTCTTGGCATATTATCTCCTGTCTGGATTATTGATGAGATCTACCGCGTGGAAACAGGGGAGAGATCTCCTCTCTGTTGGGTTATTAAAGTCTCTGCGGGAAGCAGGTTTATTTGTGATATATGTACACTGTGGCTTCTGATGCCTTGTCTGCTTAGATTCTTCTGTGTCAGTTATTGTTGATGCCTGAGTAAGGAAAAGCCATTTATTTTGTTTAACTGTTGTGCTGGGGCCACGTCAGGCTCAAAATATACCTCTTTTAAGAACCGTCCATGACCGACCTCCTCTTGCAAGCTTCAAGGACTTGCTCAGTTACTCAGGTTCCGTCCAGTCTCTTTCTCACTCATCGTTCTCCAAGCCATATCCTCAATAGACACAGGGAACACTGGGCCCTTTCTGTTCCTGGGCAACCTTCACAGTCCTCTCTTGTGGGTGGAGCTTTGGGAAGTTGGGGTTATCTTAGGGGGTGTGCAGTTACAGTATTTTGCTGATCGGACTCGTGGTTTATTTGGCAATTCAGTGTCCTCTTAAGATGTTCAGGGCAACGTGTTTCCAGGGTGCTCCACGTGTGAGTAGCAAAGCCCAAGATCACAACCTGGACATAGGAGTAATTTTCAAGTCAGAAAACCTCACTTTCCTGTTCCTCTCCCTGCCCCATACTAAAGGCAGCCATCTTGACACCATATTGGAAAGCAGGCGTGGGTGGGAAGTTGCTCTCCCCATCTAAGTCTCCCCATGGGCTCATTCCCTTTTTTGGTGAGAACTCAGTGGGAAGTCTTGAAAAACAAACAAAACAAAAAGCCTTGAATCTTCAAAACTTTTCCCTTTGTAATTTTTCCTATTGTGATTTTTTTCTCCCTACTGGTAGTAAGAGATTAATTCAACATGGACTGGAGACCTTATTTTATTCCTCTTCTTTGTACCTACATGGTCTAACCACAAACCTAATTTACAGTCCACTTAGGTATGGATTACACATTGAATTGTGTGAGCCTATGTAGGTAAATACTTGGAAATATTCCTGAGAGCAAAATTATGAAACAAAGTACCTAAAACCTATAGAGATAAAGACTTCACTGGAGGAAGAAGGTAAGTGTTTTAAAGTAGGAGCTATTTGAGTTTTGATGCCAGATCTGCCGGGCAAGCCTAAAGTCCCAGCATGTGTGATGTTTTTAATTTTGTTCCCTAACGGGGCCAGGCACCCTCCCTGAGGCTGTTTGTGGAAGCCTCTAGAAGTCCCCTGGCTGCAGAGTGACGCCAGCTCTCCCAAGGACCCAGGGGAAGCTGCTGCCGCTGCTGTTTCTGTCTCTGCCTTTCTTTGCTCAAAAGTTGGCAAATGCTGGTCACGTCGTGGGTCTATTTATAGTACGCACACGTCTAAGCACCTTGTTCTTTTCTTAGCATCAGCTTGACATGCTATCAATTATCCATGAGGTGAATGGCAACGCAAGGAAAGTTATTTGAGGCAGGTGCCCCAAGGTGAGAGGTGGGGGTTGTGGCGGAGGTCACACGGGGACAGCTCCAGATAAAAAGGGTAAAAGAGACATTCTGTGCTGTGTCTCAGCTTGGTGAGTGATCTCAGACAGGTGGGTGGGAAATCCTGAGCTGCTTGTCAGGCAGTCTCAGCCTCTGTCCTCTTACCTGCTTCTGTCTAAAATGTCCTTTTGAAAAATACAACGGGACCCAAAGGTGGTGATCCTCTTCTAGAGGTCATGTTTGTTACACCCTCCAGCCACAGGAGGAGTAGACATAAGGCCCAAGTAGGGGATCCTGGGGGCTGGACATCCTTTCTCCCATTGGAGCATTTCCGGGGGTGTGGGTGTGAGGTAGCAGCTGGCGAATGGGGAAAAGTCAATGGTGCCTGGGATGTCCTGTTGCCCCTCTTCTTGCCCTGTCTGGATCAGCAAGGTGGCTATCCCTGGAAATACAGCACAGCACACTTGCCCTGGCTCACAACATCTCCCAGCCTTCCGCACAGACCCTCCATGCCCTCGGGGATTCTAGACTCGCTCATTGTTCTCACTCCTCCTCACTGACAAGGTTTCCCTTTTTTGAAAACAAGTCCTTCTCCTCCTCTTCCTCCTCCTCTTTAGTGTTAGAGCAGAGATGCTGATTGCCCCATTTCATTGGGATTGGATACCCTCCTGTCACTTTCTCATTTGTCTGCCACTGATTTGGGGCTGTATTGCAGGAGCTGGAGGGATTTGCTCTTGGAGCTGTTGTGACAACACTGATACTGATGTTTCTGTTGTCTTAGCTCCCACAATTGAATTGCCTGTGACCTGGGTGATAGAGGGGACGTCTGCCTTTTATATCCCAGTAATAGTATCACTGCCCTTCCTGTTTGTGCCCTCTGTCCACCATGGGCTTTGAATCTGAAAAGGAACAAAAAGAATTGAATCAAGGTCAAAAAGAGTGCGACACAAATTAATTACGAATTCTGTCGGCCTCGCCATGAACTGACTCAGCCTTTAAGACCCATTTCTAAGTCTTCCCACTCCCCACCTCCTGCTTCTCAGTCCCTGTGGCAATGGTGGACTCAACTGTCTGCAGGAAGTGTGTGCGGCTGGCTCCTTGGGGACAGAGTGGCTGCAGGGCCTTGGACATTGTGCAGTGTTCTTGACTATGTAAAGGGCCCTGGCTGACCCTCTCAGGGCTCCCGCTCCGAGGCTAATGCCATCTGCCCGGCTAATCCACTTTCCGGGCCGCCAGTGTCTAGCGCCAGAGAATGTCTGTGTCCGTGAGTATCCTGGTGCCATTTAAACTGACTCCAGGTTCCTGGGGATCTGTTTGCAGCCTTTGTTATCTTTTGGCAGAGCTACCTGTCTATTCCTTTCTCTTCTTCTCAGTAGTCAGACCACTCAAGTTAAACTTGGTTTATTATTTAGGGACCTCCTGGGGAGGAGTTAGATGCTTATCCTGAGCACAGAACAGCCAGCTTTCAGGGGTGCATGTGTGTGGTATACCAGTCACGTCTCTGTGTGTGTGAGTGCTTCTGGCTGTCTTAGAAGGATGAGTAGGGGCTGGATGGATCTCTTTTGCAGAAGCTGCAGGACCCAAAACAGGTGCACAAGGTCATTGTCAGAGTCCTCAGACGGCAGGTGAGTACAAGAGGAGTTCCATTCTTTTTGTTCTAACTTATAACAACAAAAAAATGTAGTTATAAATATTAGGGCCTCCTTTTCCTTTTTTATGCACTGAAATTTGGGATCTAGGACCCTTTTTTGATACCTTTTTGGGGATTGGGAGACCTGATTTTCTTTTTCTTTTTGCATTGTTGATTATGTTATTCCTAACCTGTGGGCGTTCACCACCCACAATTTTTGGTAATTATTTGACACCTCCTTCCTCTTTCTCCACCCCCCGCCCCCAAGAGCAGGCTAGAAGTGGTTTCTTCTGGGGATAAGTTTTGGAAATAGATTTTTAGTCTGGAGTTTCTGGTGGCAGGATTTATGGTTCTGCTACATATTGATAGGTTGTTTTCAGTTATGCATTTAAATATATAGTCAGCTGTATCTGCATCCCATTACATACAGTTAAATGATTGCTCATGACTAATAAACGAAACAATGTTGCTTTGGCTTTTCCTTTTGTTATTATCATGTTGTTATTGTTTCTTAATTCGTTCCTTAAGAGTTTGCATAGGACCAAATGTTCCTCATTTTGCCTGGCAAATGATAAGAAATTATTTTTTATGCTTGCTTATTTGTTCCAAGCTTAAATGCAGGGTTTGGAAAACTATAGTCCCTCCGTCAATCCAGCTTACCGCCTGTTTTTATAACTAAAGTTTTATTGAAATGTGGGCAAGCTTCTCGTTTACTTTCCATCTGGGGTAGGCTTTTGCTACCACTGCAGAATTAAATCGTGATGACATGGACTTTATGGCTCATGAAGTTCAGAATACTTAGCATCTGACCCTTCACAGGCATAAGTTACCGCCATCTCATTTAATTTACATTTCTGTTCAAAATACTTTCAAAAGAGCTATAGCAAAACTAAATAGTTATAGGGTCTGTAGTGAAAAAATGAACCATTATCTGCACTCAAGGAGATTCTGAGTCAGTCAGAAAAGCAGAAGAGGTTACTGTCACATGCATAGAAACACAGACGATACAAATCAATGAAAGGACACTTAACAGAGACCCTGGCAAATACAAAGTAGCCCTCCCGTGCTATGAGAGCTGCCCAGTGAATGGAGCGCAGTGCTAGTCCCAGGGAGTTGTCTGTCCAATAGGAGAATCTACTCAAGTAACTAGTAGTAATCGTCTCATTGTGACTTTGGAAAATATGCCATGCTATGGGATTCGAAGAAGCTAACATGACTTCTGTAGCCTATTCTAGAGAGGCGGAGCTTTGGAATGGAAATTAGGGAAACTCTAGTGATGAGTCTTCTTCGAAGAGTGAAGATGACCTTTATTCACTGAAGTCAATCTTTGCTTCTGTAGTAGAAAGAGGCTTGTCCCCCCCAGTCCCCCTCAAGGAAAGAATAGATGAACTTTAGCAAGCTCTTTGGAGTGAGACTCAGTGATAATAGACTCAGAGATGCTTCATTTCAGGCCATATACAGGAACAAAAATATGATTAAAACCCTAATTAGCCAGTGACCTAGAAGTGACTTTTACAGATATCCTACTATTATTATGCTTGTTTTACAATGGAAAAAATGGGTACCAAAGATCTCTTCTTGAGTTGTGTAAAATTGCCTGTGGGACCTAAGCTTCTGATTTCCTGGTCTTCACTAAAGTCTTCAATACTTTTTTCTAACTTTGAGACATATTCTATGTGAGTGGGTATAATATTCCAGAACTCTCAGCCTGAAGTCTTTCAAGGTCATAGGGACCTTTGTTAACATGCTAGTCCTTTCCTTGGTCCCCTTGAATCTTAAAGTTCTAGGCCATTTGGGGTGCCACCTTCTCCTAACTGCCCTCTCGTACTGCTAATAGGGTAGACATAGGTATATTTTTATACAGATGCTGATTTGTGCCTAAAATACCCACAGCAGGATTTTCTTTGGAGGAAGATGGGCGGAAGTGAGGAGATAGGAAAATGGCCTATAGGTGATGTAGGGGGATAGATACCTTAAGCTTCCTTTTAACTGCCTCCGGGGCAGAAAGGTGTGATCCCCTTCCTTATTCTTCATAAGAGTCATGGCTGATACTCCTCTAACCAGAGACAGCTTGATAAGAGAAAGGCATCACACCGTTATCTAACAGAGGTTTTATGTGACACGGGAGCCTTAGAAGTGAAGCTAAGATTAGGGAGATTTGAGGTGATGTAGGTAGCTGTGTCAAAATGCAATTGAACAGAAAGGGTAGCACCTGGTGGGAATAGGCCAAATGGAGGAACGTAGTAGGGTCTTTCTATTCCGATGCTTTTTGACAGCTCTGTACAGAGTTCCTTGTTTCCAGTTATCGGGCAAGACCTCTTCTAAAATGTCTTTTGTCTTTTTTTACCCCTCTGATTTGTGGGGCTGGGGCTTGAACCCAGGCCTTGTACATAGCTCTAGCTCTACCACTAGAGCTACACCCCAGCCTTAGGAATGGAGTTTTCTGACTTACTATAAACAAAGTAGGTCAGAAAATTTCTTTATTTTTTAATCTTACCCAGTAAGGGATGGAGAGGAGATGAGAGTAATATTTTCAGGTTTTGTAGCTGCTTTAGGGGACAATGGGTTCTTGTTTCTGCAATCCACTGTAAGGGAAGTGGATTAGTGGTTCCGTGGCTTTCCTGGGAATGAGTGAGGGAGTGGAGGGCAGGAAAAGGAATGAGGGAAGCTTTGTTTCTGTGGCCTTCACTTTGGGGTATCATTTTCTGAACCCTAACATCGCCATTCAGTGTGTTTATTTATTCAAGAAGTATTTATTAAACTTCTACTGCATACCAGACTTTGCTCTGGGCACTTGCCATTCACAGTGATCTAAACAGATAGGAATCCTCCCTCCAGGGTTTTACATATTAGGTGCTTCATTAAGGGAGTGTTTCTTGGAGGATCTGCTTGGAATCTGGGCAGGGGCCCTGCACCCTGCTTTGGCTGCTTCCCCACCAGCTCCACAGCCCTCCTTACTCCACGTCCCACTGCTTTTGCCAAGTCCTTGTGTCGGTAGGACCTTCACCCTGGTTCCTCTGGGACAAGCGTCTCTTCTTCATCTTTGCTGGCACTTGCCTTTTCTCTGGTTCTCCTGTTGTCCTGCTTTGTATTGTCACCTCTTGCAAGGTCTCCCTGACTCCAGTGTGTCCTGGTTCTCTAGGGACACTGTGTTCAGCCTGTCTCCACTTTCCCGTCTCTGCGGCCAGTTCTGCTCCCGTTTTCCAGCTCCTGCCCAACCCCGTGGGGCATGTCTTGCTCCAGATCCTGAGGTCCCACCTGTGGGCCATGCACTTCTGGGGACAGATCTACTTCTAGCTATGTCTGGAATCAAAACGTGTAGCACACTGTTTCCACTTCTGTGACGGAGTTTATTTATACTCATTGTCAGTTCCTTCATTTAACAGTGTTTTTATTGATCCCAATTCCAGCTGGGGACATAAGGGTGAAGAGGATCCACTCTTAGGTCCTGTAGATCTTACATTAGCAGATGAGGAATCGGAGTTGGAATTTGGCCAACCTCAGGTACACTGATCCTTCATTAACAAAATGATGAATTTGGAGTAAATTTTAATGTCCCTTTAAATTCAAATATTCAGTCTATAAAATTTCCCCTCCTTAGTCTCCTCCCACCCCTCCCTCTCTGTGTCCTCTCCCTACAACTGCTTGACTTCTGTTTGCAGCTAAGGTTATAAAAACAGCTAGAATTTCTAAGGCAGCCCAAAAGAAGTGTGTATGGAGGGAGGGAGGGGGGGGAAGGCAAGAAATCTGCAGATCCTGGACAAGAAGGGTCAGCTGGGAGGGACACTTAGAATGCTGTGGCCTGGAGCTCACCAGTGGTCTGTGTGAGGAGTAGGCTCAGGGAAAATCTCTAATGTCCAAAGGAATCATGGCAGATTTCTGTCAGGCGCAGCCAAGGAGAAGGGTGAGGAAGAGCTGGGGGTTCCCCCTGGTCCTTGCCTCTTTTAGGTGTTCTTCTTTTGTGCCTTTTGCAAATTGAAAAAATAGAAATAGCAGCTGTTTTATGCTTTGGAAAGGCAGAAGATGGAGGAGATTTTGAGTTTATCTTAGGTGAAATGAAGAATCTGATTTTGTCAGTTTATGGATGATAGGAGAGCTAAGATTGAAAGAAAAGGCAATTAAAATCCTCACTATCTGATGACCATTCTGTGGACATGATAGCACTACGTCCCATTTTTCAATGGTGCATCTGTTGTCTCCATAAATAATCCTGTAGTCATAACCCACACGTCAATATTTGGTTCAGAAAATATAATCACTGGTTGCTGTTATTGTCTGCAAGGCATGATGATACCTTATCTTGTCATCCGTCTCAGTTTTTATCACTATCTCTTAGGTAATTTTATTGGAAGGAATGATAACTTATAAACCACGAAAAGGTGAATGATTATCCCAGTTATAAATTTCTTCCCTTACCAGGTGTCTTTAAGGTGACCTCTCTTAATCATGACTAATATTTTCCCAAAGGTTTTAAAAGAAGAGAATGCAGATTTGTGTGATGGGATAAGGTTGGGCATGGTGGGTTTACGATGAATTTCTGATAGTGTACGGAGAGTAGTATACCTTTGAAAAAGTTGAAAATACAAAAAAATACAGAGAAGAAAACAAAAGCTCCCCATTGCTTTTTCTTTCCTAAGGAAGAACAGGAAGATGAAGCAGGCTGAGGGACAGAGATATTGTTTGTTTTATGCTCTGTGTCTGTGCCAAAAAATGCTTGGGGCACAGTAGGTACTCATAAATATTTATAGGATGGATAATGAATATTTGGTATATTTTCTTCAAGTCTTTTTTCATATAGTCATTTGACACTTAATGACAGGGATACATTCGGAGAAATGTGACATTAGGCATTTTCATTGTAATCTTAGAGTGTCCCTACACAAACCTAGATGGTACAGCCCACTACACACCTAGGCTACCTGGTGCAGCCACCAGCCATCGTCATGTGTATGAGCTTCACTGACCAAAATGTTGTTTTTGGCTTGGGACTGTGTA